CGCTTTTATCACGCTGACACTGATGTACTGATGGCTTCGAAGCTGGTGCGGATACTCATGTTCGCGAGGATTTTCAGTATGATCCGTTTACTCCGTGTGCCGAAGCTTCTGAGATTCTGCTTTGAATTGGAAAGTGTAAGTTTCTGTTTCACTCACGGCCATGTTTATGCAGGAAATTATCAATGGCAATACTGTTTTTTTTTTTTATTCGCCTGCCAGTCGCCTTTGCCCACTGGGGGGAAAATAAGAAAACAAATTAAAGGGGTCCTATTATGCTCTTTTACAAAGTCTTTCTAGACATGCCAAAAATTTGACGCTACAGCACAGCAGCACTTCTTCTTCGTCGTCTCGTCTGATGCACTCACTCAACCAAGCGTTCTAACCACAACCTCGCCCCTATCCACCCCACCACCAATCTAATTTCTGTAGGCGGGAATTATTTGTAATGAAATTCTAATGAGCCGCTTTGTGATATCACAAAGCCCGGAAACCAAACGCTGTAGTCCAAACGAGCCGTTCGTTGTAGTTCTTGAAAAGGGATTTTTAAAAAACTAAATATCTCCCTTTGTAGTGGACTTTGAGATTTGTAACTTTCTAGATCTTTTTTATGCCCAAACATACACACTACACACTGACTAAAATTAAAAAAGTGAAAAAGCATAATAGGACCCCTTTAAGAAAAAAGACATCCTTTGTTATGAAACTTAAAAAAAAAAAAAGTGCTTCTGACATGGAATTGAAGATATTATTATTAGAGCGATGTACAATATAAAGTGATATAACTAAAATCGACTTTAGGTTAGAATAAAAAAAAAAAGGGGGGTTTTTTCAGGCTGATGTTACATGAACAGTTATACAAATTAGTTTTCATTCTTTTTCTGAAAGTCATCTATGATCTGATGATTTAAGGAATCCCTGAAACCAAACCAATGATTTGAAAAAGCTCTAAATAAATATCAAAAACTTCTCCAAAAATCCTACAGCAACCCAAGACCCGACAGTCTGTGATTTTCGAAGATATTTAAATATTCAGTGAAAGGATTTTTGACTTCACTCTCGCTTGATCTCATTGTTCAATACATTAGATATCTTTTTTTTTTTTTTGTAGTATTTTCCAATAAGCCAACAAGCATCAGGTTGTATGTACACCCTTACAGTTCTAATGAGACCTCGTCTGACTTTGTCTGTGTTCTCGGTCATTCTAGGTCTCTGACATCCAGCTTGAAGAAGCCAAGAAGTTTTTCAGGATATTTTTCATGTTCATGTTGATAATCCTGATTTGGCACTGGAACACATGTGTTCAGTACTTCATATCTCTACTGGAGGAGTTTCCTGACGACTGCTGGGTCATGCAAGAGAACGTCAAGGCATGTCTCAATTTGTATTGTGCGTATGCAGGCATTTACTGATGTGACGATTAACATTTGTTCCTATTTTCTTTTATGTTTTGCAGAATACCACGATCGGGGAAAAATACTCCTATTCTTCCTTCAGAGCTTTCTCTCAACTGGCCTGGATTTCAACTAAATCTATTCAATCGCCAACACGTACATCTCACATTCATTCACAACATGAAGCAATTTTGAGAAAAGATCATTAGTTGTTTTGTGGTGTGGCATTAGCTAAGGCGAGCACCGTCAGGATTAGGGATTTTACAAAACCTGTGGCCCAAAGTATTAAACTTTGAAGTGACCAAACTTACGATTTTCATATGCCAGATGAAAAGAAAATAGCAACAGATGCCCTGGTACTTTAGCATTCCGGCATCAGGTTTTGCATGAGCGAGCACCCCTGAATAAGATGCACAACTGTAGTTTACAATGAGATAAAATGATTCCCTTTTGTGTTTCAGGCATGGCAGAACGGTGGACGGCTGTTGTTAGCATGGTGGTTGGATATATAATGTGTTTTGCTCTTATCGCCTGCTTGATGACAACAGTCGGGAGCATGTCTGCGACTGGCAATGAATACAAGAAAAAGGTGCTCTTAAGTGATTTTTTCGAGAGTAAAATGGATTCAACAAATAAATGCATGAATTAAAAGCATGATGTATAAATATGACAGATCAGCCAGCTGCAATCCTCCAAAATGTTCAAGAAGCTGCCCAGGTCTCTGCGCCAGCGCACCACTGCCCAGTACAAGTGGCAGTATGACAAGAAGAACATCCTCGATCTGGTGTCAAAACGGCTGAGAAAGGTTTCTAATTCATTCATATGAACATAGAAATAAGCGAAGGTCTGTGCAGATAACGTTACACGTACCTCAGTGTCACGCTCACACTGGAGCCAACCACAATGAAGAATTAGAACAAAGTAATCTGTTTTTATGTATAACTCATTTCAATAGTGCTATGTTTTCTCTTTCAAAGGATATTATGGCAGATATGTGTCCCAACCTGCTGAGCAAAGGCTCCATGCTCATAAAGCATGACAGAGAATTCACCGAAGCAATCTTGGTGAAGTTGGAGTACGAGTTATTCCAAGCAGAAGACATCATCCTTCATCAGGACGCTAAAGCTGCCCACATGTTCTTCATCGAGCATGGACGTGTGCTCGTGAAGAACCAGTTTTTCCAAATGGAGCTGTCCGATGGAGACCACTTTGGAGGTGAAACCTGCTGTAGCATGATTCAGATGAGAAGTCAAGCCTGGTCCTCACTGCAGTTCTGGTCTTGAACCATGACTGTTTGATGTGCCATTTAGGGATGGTTTTGTCTGAAAGAGATAACAGAACCATATTAGACTGTTGTGTGGAAAAACATCCAATAATTCATATAATGATGATCAGAAGTTCACTCATGATTAGTAATCACACTTACAAACAAAACCGTTCTTCTTTCTTTTGATGCCATTAACCTGACAAATCTAGGCTGCGTACAAAAAGAACAAGTAATTATTTTGTGTCCATTCGATATAGTAGTGTATCAGAAGTTCACTCATGATTAGTAATCACACTTACAAACAAAACCGTTCTTCTTTCTTTTGATGCCATTAACCTGACAAATCTAGGCTGCGTCCAAAAAAACAAGTAATTATTTTGTGTCCATTCGATATAGTAGTGTGTGTGTGTGTATTAGGGATTAAAAAGAATACATCCACTATGTCGTGAAGTGTCCACCATATGCGTGCAACAGTTTCTCTCTGAAACTTGTCGGTCATTTGGGTAGTTATATATACGTATATTTACAGCGACTTAACACTGCTTTTGTGCTCCAGGGTCACATATATTTATATTTTAATACTATTATTTCAGACATACAACTCTTTTCGCCTGCTGTAGAGAAGGCAGGTAGGTAAATTTGTACCCAGAGCCAGTAATTAGTTCAAAGGTGATCTTATTATTGAGCGATCCTCACATTTAAAGTGGTCCAAATTAAGTTCTTAACAATGCATATTACTAATCAAAAATTAAGTTTTAATATATTTACAGTAGGAAATGTACAAAATATCTTCATGGAACATGATCTTTACTTAATATCCTAATGATTTTTGGCATAAAAGAAAAATCAATAATTTTGACCCATACAGTGTATTTTTGGCTTTTGCTACAAATATACCCCAGTGACTTAAGATTGGTTTTGTGCTCCAGGGTCACATATATTTATATTTTAATACTATTATTTCAGACATGCAACTCTTTTCGCCTGCTGTAGAGAAGGCAGGTAGGTAAATTTGGACCCAGAGCCAGTAATTAGTTCAAAGGTGATCTTATTATTGAGCGATACTAAGGTCTACAGTTCTAACCAAATGGTGGTCACATGTGGTGCAAGCAGCCTCATACTCAGTGTTTTAAGACATTGTGTGTTTCGGCAGAGATCAGCTTCCTGTTTGGTGGAAGGCAGCTGGCCACAGTTTCTGCTCTGGCCGCCTGCAGCCTTTTCTCCCTGTCAATAAAACATTTTGAGGAGATTGAGGAAGAGTTTCCACATGTTGTGAAGGAACTGAGGGCAGTGGCTCAACAGCTCAAAGATGATCTCGAGGGTAAGACTGACATTATGAGTCGCATTCAGAATCTCGCTCTGATTGAAGTCGACATAACATGCCGTTCACAATTTGACTTTCTTTAATGATACATATTTCCAAGAGAAACAGAATTTTAAAAGAGAAAACCTGTGGGATGTGACTTGAAAGAATTACAAAGACTAACAACTAAGTACATATTGATTGCAAAATGATTTTAAGACTTTTGTTTATTAAAGGTGTTGGGCTGGAACGTCAAGTTACATCAGCATCGAACAGTGTGTGCGACGACACATCAGGACATTTTGTTTTAGTCAATTAGTCATCGATTGAAAAAGATTATTTTCTTGTTTTACAATAAAAAAATACAATTTAAACTAGGTTTATATATTTTTATGTATAGGTTAGAAGCTTAAGGCGATTTTAATTCTGTTACTTTTATTTGAGTAATTATTAATGTACTTGGTGATACATAATACAATAAATTAAAGTTACTGTACATGTTCACATTCATTATTTACTTTGTAATTTCTGTATTATTACAATAAATGATCTGAGCACTGTTGTATTCAGTCTCTTTATTATATGCATGCAGACATCACGACACAGAGGTCCAGTCAGAGATGTTAAAGGAATATTATAAAATTGATTTACTAATGAAAACATGAGTAAATAACCACACCGTCAAGGACAAAAAGTACCATAAATGTAGTCCTTATACTGTCTCTACTATTCTCCAAAACATATAGAACCAATGTGAATGGAAGTCATAGAGTTACAATATTATTACACTGTTTGATCCATTTAATGTGTAAGATTTTTTAATATAAGGGCTTGAGTGTGAAAACAAACAGACCAGAATTTCTGCAACCAGTGTAAAATGCTTCTTGTCTAAAAGGCAAGTGAGAGTGTCTTTCTTGTTATGAAGTCGTGATCTCATCTGCATCTCATAAAAAAACAAAGTTGAAATAAACATGCAGAAATATCTTAACTGGAGTAACCTTTTTTACACTGACAAGCACGAAAGGAGGTCTGTAGGTTTTTCTGTTTCCTCCAGGGGGCGCAGCTCGTAAAGAGAAATCCCCTTCAGAAATTAATTTTAATCTCAGCATGTTTTTTGGTACACTACAATGTATAATCTTTTCAGTATACTCATTACAAAGGACCGAAATCAGCCCAAACAATCTGTAAAATAGATTAAATATTCCATATTCAGTGTCTATGATTCTGAGCGGCGTTGAGAAGAGTAACAGGTACCACGTGACAACGCAATGCAATTATTACATTGTAGCGTTACTGGAAATTGTCAGTAATGATGGTCAGTTTTGTATTGATTTACTTTGGTTAACGCGTTTATTTACATGTTTCAGTTCTTTAATCAAAAAGAACTGTAAAAACATTATTATTAATCAAGTAAACAGAAAGTAGCATGTTTTTTTTTTCTTAGATGAGGTGATGATTGTCTTTCTACAGACGGGTAAAGATTGTAAGCGCATTGCTAAACTGAGAACAGAAGCTCTTTGTGAGGCAATTGATGCGTTATGCAATAATGCACCACACAGCCGGGGTCATTTGTGAGTCTGCTGCAATTTCACATTTCATCAGACTGCAGATTATCAGTATTTCAACACACAGCTTAAAACGTGCATATGACGACATCATAATAAATAATAAAATATATTTATTTATTCAAATAGAGTTTCAGTATTTGGCACAAAAGACAGTGTTACAGGCACTACAGCAGAATAAAGCACTTTGGAAATGATTCTGTAAACGAAACCGAAATGTCCACAGATTACAAACATTCACTCAGCATTTGTTTGCTTTGCTTTTGTGAAATGGAGGGACTGTAAAAGAGAGGAAATGAACGCATCTACTGGCACCATTTTTGAGAAAAATGACCACAATTTACAGTATAGATGTGGTTATTTCATCTAAACCTCACTCTAAATCCCGTAATGAAATGAAATGGCAGGAACTCTACATGAACCAGCGACCAGAAATACAGAAAAACCACAACCAACACCAACTGGTGAATGTCCACACAAATGTACAATACAAATCAACCACTAACCTACAAATGAATACAGTAACAGCTAAATACTTATTTAATTGGTCTCTGACATCTACATGGCTACAGATAACATAGTAACACATTTAAAAGTGTTCAAATTTGTTAAAAAGTGGCATAGAAGTGAGCGCTATTCACCATCAACCCACTAGAGAGGGACAACAGCACAAATTATTACAGGAACAGATCACCAAAAAATGACAATTCTCTCATCATTACTAACCTTCATGCCATTTCAAGTCCATATGATGCTTTTCTTAATGTTCTTTTTTTTTTTAAGTGACAAAGAAGGTGGGGACTGATGTTTAAAAAAAATGTATATATATGTATGTGTATATATATATATATATATATATATATATATACACACACACACACACACACACACACAT